ACACAGTATGAGGTAAATGTCCAACTTCATTCTTCTGCATGAGACTATCTAGTCCCATGCCATTTATAGAAAAAGACTATTCTTTTTCTATTGAATGGCCTTGGCGCTTTGTCAAAAGTCATTTGACTATACACGTATGGGTTTATTTCTGAACTCTCAATTCTGTTCCATTGATTTATATGCCTATTCTTATGCTAGTACTACAGTGTGTTTTATCATTGCTTTGTAATATGTTTTGAAATTGAGAAATGCAAGCTCTCTGACTTTATTCTTTTTAAGAATTATTTTGGCTATTTAAGTCCTTTGAAATACCACAGGAAATTTTGAATGAGTTTGTCAACTTCTCCAAAAAAAGTCAGTGGAATTTTGATAGGGATTGCTTTGAATCTATAGGTCAGTTTGAGGAGTATTGTCATCTTAACAATTTTGAGCCTTTAGATCCATGAACATGGGAAGTTTTTCCATTTAGATTCTTTTTAAGATCTTTCAACAACATTTTGTAGTTTTCAGAGTATAAGTTTTATACTTCTCTTGTTAAAATGATTCCTACGTATTATATTCTTTTTGATGCTATCGTGAATGTAATTGCTTTCTTAATCTCATTTTCAGATTATAACTCATTTTTTAATATTTACCTCCCTACTACAGAGTTCCAGTGTCTTTCATTCATTTTTAAATTTCCAGTGATATATACAGTGGGTCACAGTACATATCATTTACTCAAAAATGGTGTAAAAGAAATACATGAATGAGTAAATGATTAAAGATAATAAACCACTGCTTCAATAACTAAATTTGTAAAAAGTACAGATTTTTTTTTTTTCCAATTTGTTGAGAGGGACTATTTGGATTTAAGAAACTCTGATGTGAAAAGTTGAATTTTTTTTTTTGATTTAGATCTAATTTTTGTTAAAATTTTGTAATTATTAAAAAAGTGCTACCTTGAACAGCAGGAAGTTGCTATAGTAACTCTCAAGAAGCTCAAAAGTGTTACTGACAATGTATAGAGGTATGTTATTAATTATATCCTCCCTCTGCTTGTGAAGGAATATGGTGTTATATCAGTAAATTTAAAAATTTTAAACGGTCACTTAAAATAGCAACTTTTCCTTAAAAGCAGATATGAAACAAATGCAAATACTTTTACTATAGATTAGAGGCAAGTTCAAGGATTGTGACATGTTTCACAAATTTCATAGCCCTCTAAGTCTCAGCTTTTAACACCTGGACAGTATATTTTAGGTAAAGCATCTTCAAATGGCATTTATCTCCTTGGAGAACTCCAAGTCCCAATTATATCGGGTATATTTCCGTTAATTTAACTAAATGTAACATTCTCATAGACCCTTGCAGTCTCACAGAGTATAGCCCTTGTTTCTCAGATTTGCTTCAACAAATGTCATTTCAGTTCAGACCTCAGTTGCAAAACAGAGGTGATACTTTACTTGGTCAAAGGCAGGAGCCCAGCTCAGATTAGCCTAAGTCTAGCTCTAAGATTAAAGATTTGAGACTTGCTGGCTTCGAGAGGCTGACTTCCAGAATAAAATCCTGTTATAATTCTAGCAGAGTTTTCCTATAACGCAGTTCTGAAACCCAATTTTCTGGGTTCAAATTACAGTTTCTCAAGTATTGAACCTAGATGTAGTTTCTTAACTTCTCTGTACCTCGATTTCCTTATGTGTGAAATGTAGTTAATAGTATTTACATAAAAATTCTATGAGAACTGTTAGGTCCTGACTTAAAAGTAAATAATCTGTATTTGTTAGCTGCTATTGTTATTGCTATTATTGCTATTTCCTAGAGAAGTAAATCAAAACCACCTCAAACTTCTCTACTATAAAAACTATTTCGAATCAAAGTGTTTTAGTGTATGCATTTAAAAAAAAAATAACATAAAACCCGGATTCTGGATCACGATCCTCTCGGCCACACCACCTCCCTCTGTACGTGGCGTCACTGCTGCTTCCCACGCTCAACCCTGGACTCCCCACTTCGGCCATGGCACCCAGCCAGCTTGCCTTATTTAGTGTCTATGACAAAACCGGCTTTGTGGAATTTGCCAGAAACCTAACTTCTGTTGGTTTGAATCTGATAGCTTCTGGAGGGACTGCAAAAGCTCTCAAGGATGCTGGCTTGGCAGAGAGGTCTCAGAGCTGATGGGATTTCCTGAAATGATAGTGGGACGTTTGAAAACCCTGCATCCTGCAATCCATGCTGGAATCTCGGTTGGTAACATCCCAGAAGGTAATGCTGACATGGCCAGACTTGATTTCAACCTTATGAGTTGTTGTTTATAATCTGTACCCCTTTGTGAAGACAGTGGCTTCTCCAGGTGTAACTGCTGAAGAGGCTGTTGAGCAAATTGATACTGGTGGGGTAACCCTGCTGAGAGCAGCACCCAAAAACCACGCTTGAGGAGTGTGTGAACCAGAGAACCACGCAGCAGTGTCCACAGAGATGCAGAGCTCCCCACAGTAAAGACACCTCCCTGGAGACTAGATGTCAGTTAACCTTGAAGGCTTTCACTCATACAGCACAATATGATGAAGCAATTTCAGATTACTTCATCATAAGCATAGTAAAGAAATATCTCAGATGCCCTTGAGGTATGGAACGAACCCACATCAAACTCCTGCCCAGTTCTACACTGAAGCCCAAGATTCCCGTTACAGTTCTAAATGGAGCCCCTGGATTTATAAACCTGCGTGATGCTTTGAATGCCTGGCAGCTGGTGAAAAAATTCAAAGAAGCTTTAGGCATTCCAGCCGCTGCCTCTTTTAAGCATGTCAGTCCAGCACATGCTGCTGCTGAAATTCCACTTTGTGAAGATGAGGCCAAAGTCTGCATGGTCTATGACAGGTACAAAACCCTTACATCCTTATCGACTAACTGCATATGCAAAAGCAAGAGGGGCCGATAGGATGTCTTCATTTGGTGACCGTTGCATTAGCTGATATATGTGATGTCCCTACTGCCAAAGTTATCTCCAGAGAGGTATTTGACGGTATGTTGTCCCAGGATGTGAAGAAGCAGCTTTGAGAATACTTTCTAAAAAGAAAAATGGGAACTACTGCGTTCTTCAGATGGACCAGTCTTAAAATCCAGATGAGAATGAAGTTCAAACTCTCTTTAGTCTTCGTTTAAACCAGAAGAGAAATAACAGTGCCATCAACAGGTTATTATTTAGCAATGTTGTTACCAAGAATAAAGATTTGCTGTAATCTGTGCTCCGAGATCTCATCGTGGCCACCACTGCTGTCAAGTATACTCAGTCCAATTGTGTGCTATGCCAAGAATGGTCAGGTTAATGGCATTGGAGCAGGACAGCAATCTTGGACACACAGCACATGCCTGGCCAAAGATAAGGTGAAATTTTGGTGGCTTAGACATCACCCACAAGTACTCTCAATGAAGTTTACAACCGGAGTGAAGACAGCAGAAATCTCCAATGCCATCAATCAATATATTACTGGAACCGTAGGTGAAGATGAAGACTTAATAAAGTGGAAAGCATTGTTTGAGGAAGTCCTGAATTATTAACTGAGGCAGAGAAGAAGAAATGGATTGACAAACGTAGTGAAGTTTCTATCAGCTCTGATGCCTTCTTTTCTTTCAGGGATAACACAGACAGAGCTAAAAGGAATGGCGTGACATATATTGCTGCTCCATCCAGTTCTTTTGTTGGTGCAGTTGTGACTGAGGCTTGCAATGAACTGGGGATAATCCTCGCTCATACGAATCTTCCCTCTTTCGTAACTAATCTCATCACACATTACTTTAAGTTTTGTTTATGTATAGGTGAAAAATCATGTGGGAAATGTAAGAAATACTTAAAAATATTAAATATTAATAATGAAAATAACATACAATAACATTAAATGTTAAAAAAATAACATTTACCACTTTACCCATTTTTAAGTATACCATCCAGTGATATTAAATATGTTCATAATGTTGTGCTACCATCACTATGTACTACCTCCAGAACTCTTTGTACCCAGTAAGCAATAATTCCCCCCAGTCCTTGGCGCCCACTGTACTACTTTATCTCTATGATTTTGACTACGTATCTTATATCAATGGAATCACAGTATCTTTTTGTGAGACTTATTTCACTTAGCATAATGGCCTCAAGATTTATCCATGTTGTAGCATATGTCAGAATTTCCTTCCTTTTTAAGCCCGAAAAATATTCCATTGTAATATATGCCACATTTTGCTTATGTGTTGATCTGTTGATGGATATTCGGTTTGCTTCCAAATTTTAGCTGTGAATAGTGCTGCTGTGAACGTAGGTTTACATATATCTCTTCAAGACCTATGTTCAGATAAGCTTTATGATTAATTAAAAGATATCACAGCAATAGTCAACCTCACATCACAATACTAGCAAGTGCATAACAAATCAAAGAAAAAGAATTTAAAAAAATGGACTTATCATATATTAAAACCACAAATACACAAGAATTTAATAATCTAAATAAAAGACATTTTGCCACTCTGAAAGACATTACAGGGTGGAGATTTTTGGATTTAGGCCCTAAGCATCCTACTTAAGAATCTGTCAGAGGAAAATGATTCAAGGGTAGCCAAAGAAAAAGCCACTAGGACCAGAGGCAGGACAAGAGATGGAACCTAGGGGACCAGGGTAAATGGGGGGATTCAAGAGGTGGAGGAATCCAGCCCCACTGTCTCTCCCTTCCCTCTTCCATCTCAGCTCCAGCCTGGCCTCTTCTTTTCATCCCTCTCCCCCAAAACAGAAGCCGTGGCCCTGGCCATGTCATCGTGTTCCTGTGTTCCCCACCCTTCCCCCCTCCTTTTGTGAAGATCCCATTACAATAAATTTTAAATAAAAACCTGAAAAAAATTTTTAAGCATCTGAAATCTCTTTTATCTAAGAGGCATATGAAAATAATTTATCAGACTCATAAAGCATTTATATTTTTCTCTTCATTATATACTGCTAGTTAGAGAAAAAAGTGGTTTGGAAAAATTCTTACCTGGATAAGATGTGTTGGCATTGTGATGATACAGGCTGAAAGAGAGGTTCGCAGAAGACCACGGAGAATGTAGAGGAACTTGGTAAGGCTGTAACTGTTGTCACAGTTTTCCGTACAGAAAACGTCATCTCCCCACAAAGGTGAACCAAGATTCTGAATTCCTATTCTTAAAATGTTTTTCTGTTTTTTCTAAAGGAAAGAGGTAAACACATTAAGATGTGTTAACCAATAGGATATCTCCTTTACTTTGCCAGTTCTTATTTTTATTTATAATAAATCAAGGAGATAATGCCAATAGATGCGGTAAAAAGCATTACGTGCAACAATAATAAGGCAATATAAGGAAAATCTATATTACAAGAATATAAAAAAATAACAGAACTGATTTTTTCCCACTTTTAGAAAATTTGAAGAGTATCATAAGCTTCAAGTTTTTAATTATTTCTAAATTTTAAGTGACTACTCTAAGAATCTGTTTGAAACAGTATATATAACAAATCACAGTTAATAATAAAATCTAGAGTGCTTAGAAACCATTATTAGTATTATATAATTCTCTGCCTTTCAATAAATGATAAATTGCTCGATATTTCTCACTTAATTCTACCATCACCCCTGCCTGATATTTTGTTTGAAAGAAGTTTAAAAATGTATGTTTTGGTTTTACACTTTACACTTGCTTCTATTTTTTCTTCTTGCAGCTATTATAACAATAATCTAAGTTCAACACTTTTCATAAAACAACATGTGAACATTTAGAACTCAAGCTACTAATATTAAGGTCATAATAATAGTGACTGATATTTATGGGGGGAAAAAGAAATGGTTTTTAAATAAAAACCATTAAATAAAACCTAGGATGATTGTCAAAAAGTGTTTGCCAATAGATGTATTTATAATAAGTTCTACTGTTTGGATTATTCTAACTAAACAAATGTTTTGTAAATGCTTTCCTTGGCAATCCAGCAAAATTTCTGGGCAAAGGAAGGAGATCTTAGCAAAACCTGGCACATGGAAATAATTGGAAAATCATTATTACGATTCTGATGGGAAAAATAAGATTTAGCTCTTAAAGCAAAGACTTGGAACATGTGTCACTTGACAGTATGATAACTGATGAAACCATACCTTAAAATATACCCCTTGCTACTGCTATAAAATATCACTAATAAAATTTATTATCCAACTAGTTATTGCCAAACACAATATATCTCCTTGATATTATACAGATAAAATTTGAATTTGTGTATTCCTTTTCAAGGAGAATTTATCAACAAAGAAAAGCAAACAAAATGAATAAAACACTGAAATAATAGAAGAAGAAAACCTAGGGGACAGTGGTTAGTAAGATGAGTAAGAGAGACTCATAGTCTGGACTGTTCAACTCAACGGATGTATGATTCTAGGTAAGACACATACATTACTTAGGGCTTAGTTTTCTCATCTCTAAAACAAAAACAATAGGATAGAACATTGCTCTATGAGACCATATAATACCTCAAATATATAAAGTGACACCATGTCCTGGATAAAACTATAGGAATCAGATTATGGAAAGAGGACTTTAGTCTAAGCACAATTGAAAAAGCTTCCTGACTCCAAGGACCTAATGCATGATGACACTACCAAGGCAGCTGATCTAATTTTTCTTTTCTGATTGTATTAAGGTTATGATAGACAACCACCTAGATACCGTATGTTGTGATCCTAAATAGCTCATAAAAAATTTCTTTTTACTTCCGCATTACTTGAATGAAATGAAGTAATAAGATGTATCAGAGCAGAGCATATGTTAGAAATATAAATAAGTTTCTGGTGAATTTGTGTAAGATATCTGTGAAATATCATAGGTTATTCCTTTTTCTGTATTAATTAGAAACTCAGGATTTAAGTTAAAATGAGAAAATTAAGGTTCATTTTTCATTTTTAAACTTGTTATCACATGAACTGTAGCTTAAGTTATATTCTCAACAGAAAGAACACTCTGAAAAGAAGGCAGAGAAAAATTTACCTAAAAAAAAAAATCTAGATATTAAAATGAAATCTGAAGGTAAAAGGAGAGCCGAATTACATTATTTTCCCTGTTAACATTTCAGAAACTAAAGGTTGGCTATATTTTAACCTACAGTCACCAGTACCTACTACTATTGTATAAAAAAGTACCTGCTAAAAGTTTAGAACAAAAATGAATCAGGAGAACTACAGGAGGTTAGTGACTTTGATAGATATATGAATGAAAATATTAAACCAAAGAATGAATGAGAAATATTTAAGTGAGGTAGGTACACAGCACATTAGAATATAATAGCATAATACCTCCACACAGGGAATACATTAATATTTTAATTACAAAAACAAAGGCTGAGAGCCAAACCAGCTTCAATTTGTTGTCTATCAATTTTCATTAAAAACTTTGTTTATTGAAAATGGTGTTTTCATACTCAAATAAGAAAACAAACCTTCCATTCCAATACAAGCTTACTTATTAACGGTTCTTTGAGTGTGTGTGCATGTATGTGTGCGTGTATGTTAGCATACATATATATGTGAGAGTATACTCATGTACATATACATGTTAAGTATGTCTTTATGCCATAGCTTTTGCTTTTTAAAAAAATTTCTTGCTCTTAGAAGACATGTCATCATCGTGCAAGAGAAGCAGCTTTGCACATTGTAATGTAGGAACTGTTATGACATGCCTGTTTCCATAGTTACCACTGCAAGTGGGGAGAGGTATCTGTCAGGGACCAGTTTACCTTTCCAGACAGGCACTGCCACCAAAGAGAAGACATGGTGCCCATAAATCTTAGCTAGGACCAAAAATTGAGCAACAGTGAGCAAATTAAATTATACTAAATACCAAGGGCCATTACAAAAACTGGAACATGTATGAAAGCCATTTATAAATGAATGAGTGTGCTTTACCACACATACACATAAGGATTTTCAACCTGCTATTAAACTAATGATCAAGACATTTAAAAATTACTGATTTTTCCATGGACAAAGTATTAAATATAGCAGCAAAGTTTAAAAAATATTTTAAAATCTATGAATTAAAAACAAATGTAGTTGATAATGGCAAAAATAAGACTTTTTGCTTCCTTATCTCCTTCAATAAAAATAATGATTCTCTAGAAATAATTCTGCTAAAATAATGTAAATGAAACACAAATCTTTTAGCAGCTATCGTAATTAAAATCACTGAGGAAGAATTCTGAGAGGCATGATATCTAGAAATAAAATTTTCCACATTTTGTTTAAGTTAAACTAACCAGAGCATATTTAATAGTGGTAATCTGAAGGAAGGTTTTAAAAATAGAGCTACAGAAAAACAGTTAAGTTACAAAATATTTTAAAATAGCAAATAAAAATGCATCTTTTATTCAATGAAATAACTCAAAGCATGCTGAAATAAGAAATAAAATCTTAAAATAATTCATTCTTCCTCATAAAGCAATACAAAATTAAGGGCTGAATGACAGAAATATAAAAAATTTAGATAGAGAAAGGACAAGTCTTGCATATTTAAGAGTAATTTTCAATTATTAATTCCAGGTGTTATAAATACATATTCAAAAACAATGCTGACAATGTATGTGTACATCTTATGTGTATTCACTGAGAACTCAGTGAAAATTCTAAACACACATTAATAGTCAAACTAAGGTTGCTTGTGCTCTGCTTATTTACATCTTCGGTGCCTGCAAACAGCTTGTTCATCGTGGATTTTTCTGAGACCTTCTGGGTGCACCCCTAGAGAGCTTGAAAATAATATTACATACATGATTATAAAAGGCTTTGAAGGTACTCAATACCTGGGGATTGGATCCATCGAATCCTTCCTCATAAATAATTTTCTGGATAAACTGAAGCAGCTGTATGTATCCATGGGTCAAAGAACTGTTGGTAAGAAGTGGTTCAAATACATAAATGGGCTTATTGTACAGAAAATACAAATGTAAGCTAAAACAGTAAGTAAATAATTAAAAGGTATCCATTTATGAGATTGCTTAAATAAAAAAAAAAACCAAGCCAAAAACAGTATAAATAATTATAAAAAATAAAGTCAATACATCCAGGGAGCAAGTTACATGCCTTATGTTAACTAGTTCAGTATTCTTGACATCATGGGAAGATAAAAATCTGTGGAGACTGAGATGACTTAATTATGTCAGGCTTAGTTATCGCCAAGAAAATTAATGATTTAATGAAGCAACCTAAAAGATGAAGCCACTATAGCTTTTCAGGAGTAATCATAGATAATTAACACATAGTTAATTAACGGTTCTGCCAAGTATACCTGAATCAATGTGCTGATCACCTGAGTTCGTCTTCCACAATAGTTTTCATTTTCTCTGAACAAAGTGCTAAAATAATATTAATATGAAAACTTGATCTTTTAAGACAAGTGAGTATAAACTCTACTTCATTTATAAACAAAAGACAAAAAAATAAATGTATGAATGTAAGATGACCTAAATTATTTCCCATATGAATATTAGCATTAATGTTACTATTTTAAAATATTTTACAAATGCTATAAGACATCTCAAATAAAATTTGGTAAGAATGAAGACAATCTGCTTTAACATTAACTGAATTTAACATTCTTCATAATGGACGTGTGCACTATGGCTGAGCATTAAAGGTCATGATAATGAGATTCTGGGGCATAGACACTGAATGCCTAATCTAAAAGCTGTGGGTGACCCTAAAAATACAAAAGTATTTGCTTTACTGTGATCCTAAATAAAGCAATCACATAGGCAGAAGAAATGCCCTAAAGAATGAAATATAATTTGAATCATACATGAGACATTAAAGAATAGAAAAGTTAGTAAAAGTAGCAGACTGCTTAGTGTGCAAAATCAATAGTAGGTGGTTTAGCAAAAATATATGCGTGTCTCTGTAACATTTTATTGAAAAGTCATACCTAGCTCAAAAGTACCTATCTAACAAAAAACAAAACAAAACAAAACAAAAACAAGAGAAAAGAATCTCAAAAACAAGAGAAAAGAATCCTGTTCTGTGCAAAATAAACATTGGCTCCAATCGAAGGATTTGACAGTGTTATTTCTCATAGTTATTTCTCCATTTTCAGTGAAAATACAATGAATTACATGAACACATTTTTCTACCTTCATAAGTGAGGAAATGTGCCTACGAATAATGATATTCCATAAAGGCAATATTGTGACTATTTCATATCTTAACACATATTTGTCCTGGCTAGCTCAACTTTCAGGACATAGTGTTGCTGTTCAAACACAGCAGATTTAATTCCTATCTGGGTCAATTAGCTTTGCATGGTGGGTAAAATCTGCTCCAAGGTCCTAGATTATGAAATGAATTCCAGCCAACCATTTGACGAATGTCACTATGGGTTAAAGGAGGGTGGATCAAGAATATGTTCAGTGTATCTTAATCCATGAATAACGAATCTACCTAAGACAATTATTATTTCATCTATGCAAAAAAAATTTAAAGTGTTTTCCCCCTGCCAAAATTGGTCAATAATATCTGCCTTAGGTAACTTGGTAGTAAATCTGCTATCTGAAGGCACATTATTAAATACCACGTATACAAATTAGTTTTAGTTTTTAGTTGCCACCATTTAGCCAACCAACATGATCTGTTATTTATTTCATATTCTCACAGTCTGTTAAGATAACTATAAAAGATCTAATATTCTCTTCAACGGTAAGGGGGTTTCTTTAGATATGAGAACAAAAATGAAAACATAAAGCTAATATGTCTTAATCTCTTTCCTTATTTAACATTGACACAAACAACTCAATCACCAGCAATGCTTAGAACTTCATAAGCAATAAAATAAATTTCTCCAAAGTAATTCGATTTCTAGGAGAATAAATACTTTGAAAGCAAAAGAAAATGGTGAAAATTCAATACATTTAGGTGTATCGAGAATATTCATTTTTGGATACACGAAATTATAGCATTTAAAGCTGTAATTTATATGGTATTGGTATTAAAATACTAAGTATTGTTAATCTTCATGATACATTTCCTTGTCAGCAACATTTATAATTTTTTTTTGCTGAAAATAAATATCTTCTCTTGTCATTTAAATTTTTTACATTAAACTCCTTTATTTGAGAATGTTGCCTTTTTATTTTGTTGTTCAGCAGTCTAGTAACTCATAAAACAGGAGTTGGCAAAAAGGAAATCCCAGTTACAAATATGACTTTGGCTTCCTTATTATTTTCAAACCTTTAACAAAGGTTAGTTTACCAAAGTATTTACAATGTATTCCAAAGGCAGCACATTTCAAATAATGTATACTATTTCATATGATTTTCATAATTTTCATAACTTTTATGGTAAAATGATCTCTCGAGGTTCTACAATGTCTTTAAAACTATAATAGTACAAAGAATATAAAAACAATTATTAGAACTTTAATTTTTACCTTAAAATATCAAGCATTAAAATTTTCTTTAGTGAAAAACAGTTGTACTGTGTACATTATTCCTGTGTCTGCTTATATTACCATGTTGTCTGACAGGAATGTATTTCTTTATGTTACTATACAAACATGGACAAAAGAAGCCCAATGACACCAAAGTAAAACTATATACTGATGAAAAAGTTTAACATTTAAAAAAAAATTGACAGTAAAAAATTTTGTGCCCGTCTATATCAGCAAGCGGTCTGATGGTCATTTACATCAGAAAACTTTAATTTCTACCAACGAATGACATTGGTTTTCTTTTAAAAAGAATTTTTCTCTTGCAATCTCAATTAGAAAGATAAAAAAATCTACTATAAGAGAATCAGAAAAAAAGAGAATCAAATGTAGTATATCTAGAAATCAAGTGGATAATGAATATATGATTGCCTTTCAGTTTCTCAAACAATGAACAAAGGAATACTTACAAAAGTCTTACCATGATCAAAGAATAAATCAATTTTGTTGTACCAACAACAACAAAAAAGCTTGAGTAACAGATTTTATTTGTGAAAAGATAAATTACGAAAATAAAATAATGTATATATAAAATTAAAAGTTTGATAAGTAAAAGATTTGGTCATAGATAATAAGCTTGGGTTTGTTTCTAATAAGACTACTTGATTTTAATTTTATCGACTGGTAAATGTCTGGTACACAGTAAATACTCAAAACCATTGCATCACTGTCGTAACATTTGATTATTACAATAACTTTGAGTGGTAAGTGGTAAGTACAGTCATTATTTCCATTTTATGGTTGAGAAAATTAACCCATTAGAAGCTAAGTGAGTTGCCCAAGGCTGTACAACAATTAGTGATAAAAGTGGCACTTAAAAATTCGAGTTTTCTAAAACTCCAAGTTATTTGCTCTTTGGCTAAACTAAGGTAGAGCCTTAGAGAGAGATCCAGGTTCATTCAAAAGTCTGTGAGTTCAAATAGACTAATGTGGCTCAGATGAAATTTAAACATGGCTACATTCAACATAGTTGAATAAAGTATTCAGGTATATAGTTTAAGGAGATATTTCTCTTAGTTGTATTGATAAGATCTTTACCAACAGGCCTCAGTTATATTAACTTTGTGTATGATTTATGAAAAAAATTTAATATTAACCCATTTCCTGTTTATAAAAAAAAAGTGCAGCTCGCTGCCAGCATTAATTTAATTTTACCTAAACACACTCTTTGGAGCTGAAGCAAATCTGACTGGTTTTCAATATGAAAATAAAATATAAAAACAGTTCTTGGAGTTATTTCTAAACAGAATTTGTCTCAACCTGATGTAACAGAAATTTATACATAAATTGGATTCATCAAATGAATTTTTGGCTAACAATTGTTTGAGAATGATGTTAACATCACGTGTAGGACTGCTATGTTTTCTAGGATCTGACATTTTCAGCAATCGAGAATTACTATATTTTGTAAATGGAAATACCACTACTAAAAAATGAGTGCTATAAATAGAATGATATCATTTGTTTCCGAAAACTATCGATATACTAGAGTAATAAAAACACAATAATAATAAAAGTAAGATATTTTGTGGCAAACTTTGGGGGTAAGGTTAGAACTGTAATCCATTATCTCAGGGTAAACTCTGTGGCCACAAGTGCCGTGTATTCTCTGGGCAAACAGGAAATGGGTTGAAAAGTGTTTACAAATATATAAACTACTTATCGGTACAGTGAGAAGTATGCTGAAGATGTGGTTTCTAGTTCTATCTATAGCAATGACTGTAGATAAATGTATGATATGAGGCAAATTCTTTAATTTTTCTGTTCTGAGCTTCAAAATTTTCTCATCTGTAAACTGGAGGAGTTGCACTAAATAATCTCTGTTGTCCATTTAGACTTAAAATTATATGGTACAAGAATGAAATTTTCTTTTTTAAAAATAATTTTTCTCATTAGACTGATTCATTCCTAGGTTTTAAAGAATCAGAACTTCTGGTACATTTAAATATTGATTTAACTGATAGAAAAATTTAGAAAGTGAAATTGTTATCACTACCAGTTAGGATTAATTTAAAGTGAAGATGAGACATTTTTGAAATTATTGAGAAAATATGATTTGTATTATCAAAAATCTATTTACACACATATTTCAGGTGTTCACCTATGATAAATAGTGAGATATACTTATAAGGCAATAGGTACAATATCAAATGTCTTGACTAATTGCATAAAATAGTTTGCTAAGCTACAGTTATATTAGCATATACTTTACCTGTGACTATAAAGACTGTGAAGTCTATTCACAAGTAATTTTCAAGTTAAAAATTTTTTTATTACCATTACCCCAAAGGCTGTCATTTATGAATTTTTCTTTCCTGATGTTTTTCATCCTTTTTTTGATGCTTTTCAAACAACATTGAGTTTGAGTCTCTTCACCATGGATACTCAACTAAGAGGAGGACATAGAGATATT